TCAGCCATAAGCAACTCACTTGAGTATTTTTATTTCTTAAGTATTTTTTATTACAGTTTCATCTCGGTGTTGAAACGGTGTGAGCTGTACAGAAGCTGTTGCATCACCAAATCGAACCCTGGTCACTTTGGGTTTTAATGTCTAAACACAGGAAGTGATCAGCTTGCCTTTTTATGACCTATAAGTTAACCTGCTGCTTTTGCCTCTAAAAAGCCTTCCGATGTTTGCTAACTGTAGCTGACTGTCGTTTGTTACCCATCCCGCCCCATCCGCTGTGTCTACGTTGGAAAAAACAAAATTAGCTTGTCCTCTTCAGTTTAAAGATAATACCAGTGATTACAGACAAACTGCCATATTGGTAGACTGACTGATTGTAGCACTACGCCATGTAAGACCTGTTACAGATTGATTTTTGATAATAAACCCATCATTTGCCCCCAGTTCATATTTCGGGGAATGACCTTCAAAACCATTTTCGTCAACAGGCGGCCTCTGAAGTGAGAGGGTTCAGTGCCTTGCTTGTAGGTAAAGGATTGCGGTTCTTGTCTAATCACTTTGTACATTTCAAGGAGTCATGACTGATTGTTGTTGTTGGGGGAGGTTATAATCAGTCTTAAGTAGCCAGTACACAGAAACTGCTTAATAGGTCATTCACAAGTGTCTCAGGTTAGTCAAAATTAGATCTGTTTGCGAAAGTCAGACAGTTAGCCTCTCCATCTGTTCATATCCTTTATGGACAACATATTCTAGATGTAGCTAAAGGCCGTTTTGGTTTGGTGGCGTTGGGAATTCACAAGTGATGTGGTCCTTTTAGGCTTTGTCAAGTGGTTAACCTCTAGCTTACAATGTTGTGCTTTTCTGTGAAGATGAGAACTGCCCCTGATTGGGGTTGAGGTCCTGCCTTGGGTACCACCGGTTCTTGTTCAAGACTGGAGAAGTGGAGCCAGAGATTAACAGATTGATTGGTGAAGGATCTGCAGTAATGCAGATGTAGTACCAGCTTATTGCTGTGAAGAGAAAGCTGAGCGTGGAGCAAAGTTGTCAATTTACTGGTTGGATCTATCTATCCTCATCACCTGTGACCTCAAGCTGTGGGCAGCGACCTAAAGATTGAGATAGTGGATACAAGCATCAGCTTCCTCCGATGGGCGTCTGGTCTCCTCTTACAGATAAGATGACACACTCGAAATAGATCCTGACATCGAAAGGAGCCAGTTGAGGTGGTTGGGGTGTCGGCCTAGATGCCTCTAAGGTGAGGTGTTTAAGGCATATTCTACTGGGAGGAGACTCTGGATGAACTGGAGAGATTGCGTCTCTTGGCTGCCATTGGAACACCTCAGTGACCCTCCTGAAAAGATGGAGATGGTTGAGAGATGGAGGTCTAGGTACTTCTGCTTGAACTGCTGACCCTGCAGTTCAGACCTTGATAAGTTATACTGGATGGATGGATGTTTGCACATGTACTTCCTGTTATCTCTGCCTTCAGATCGCCTTGGTTGATGAGCCTCAGTCCAAATTGCACTGAAATGCTAGGACCCAAAGTCAAGTTGCTTCTGATTGTGTTTGCATAATGACCGTTTTTGATGTTCAAGGTGAAAAGCTTAAAAACTACACGCTGGCATGTTCTGTGCTGTAACCACTGGTAGCCAATCTTTAAACACTTTACACCCAGACTCTATAGAACTAGAAGAACAGATGCTTGCTATGTAGAGCAGATGCAATCTTGTGCTCACATCACGCATGTCACACCGCAACTTTTAAGAAACTGGAAGAAAAATGGTGGTGGGGTGGGGTGAAATTACAAGAAACAAAAGCACTATGAGAATCCTTGCAATTTGTTTTTCGTTTCTTTGTTTTTTCTATTTTCATGCATCGCCAAAATTTACCGCACTTTGGAGCAATTCTGTCCTTTTCTTTACAAAACTATTAGTCCTTGGCTTGAAATTAGACAGTGAAGTCATGTGGTTTGAAAGACTAACAGTCATGCGGTGCCAAATGATGAGAGCGGGACAATCTGACCTCGGAGTGCGTCTCGGGTCTGAAACAGATTTCCTTCTCTGCCTGGTTCTGTTTTCAGTTGATGCCACCATGTTTGTCTGAACCGATACCTGTCTGTCAGCGTTAATAAAGATAAAATATGACAAAAAAACATGGCGACATTTTATTTCACTTCATATTTCACTGTTCACATATGTTTGAAGTGTGCATTGATTTACAGATCTTACTTCCCCAACCGCCCTGCGACAGACTGGCGACCTTTCCGGGGTGTACCACGCCTATCGCCCTATGACAGCTGGGATGGGCTCCAGCGCCCCTGAAAAGGATAAGCGGAAGCAATGGATGGATGGATGGACTTCCCCAACCTCTAGCTAACTGTTCTCTCAGAGTACTGGAGGAAGAAGAAGGGCAACACAATGGCCTCAGGCTTCAAGGGGGATTTGATGCTCTGGATGCACCTTCCATTTAGCAGCAGCTGTATGCAGATATGATGGAAGAAATACTGAGAATTACCTCAATACCTACATTCACCCCCTGCTTCGATAAAGCTGTTTTACCTCAGAGTCTGAAAAGTGAAGCCAACATGTTGAAACCCCTTAAACAGGCTGTTATGGCCCGTCTAGGCGCGGCCAGACCACAACATAAAGGGTGATCCATCCCCGTCCAACCCCAAGCAGCACGTCACACACTTAATATTTTGTGACAGTGATTTATTTACAATAAGTGCAGTTAAACCAAGGAAGGGAACATATCATAACTTCAGGGTGAACCCAAGGCCAAAACAACAAACAAAAGATAACCTATCTCAGGAATAAACACAACTTACCTACTCAAAAGCACTAAACCAAACGACAATCACTTTCCTCTGCCTAACAAAAACAGGAGAAAACTGACCAAACAAAAAGGCGGTCCACCCCTACATGCTCTTACATTAATTAACATAGTGACACAGTGAACGGACTGCCGGTTGGGTTGGGCCGAGGATGAATTAAGTGGCAGTCCCCGGCGGTCTCTTCTTATCCGCTGCCTCCCAGTCCTCAGCCAATCAGTGCGAGCCATCCACCCTGGACGCACCAATCCCGGAGGAGCACCTGGACACTCAAATTTACATATGATTACGATCACAGTCGTAACAAGGCACTTTTGCTAATGGCCAGCAGAATAGTTGCAGAATCGCATACAGTTGTTTAGAAGTCTGTGGAGAAAATGATCGCGAGTATTTTGTTTTTAATCACCTTAGTAAACACTTTCCTAAAAACTTTCAGTCGCTAATTTTACATCTAGTTTAATACAATGTGGTTTTTATGATGTAAAATTATGGTTCCCAAGCAAAGTAGACGAAGCAGGAGAGGCCTATTGGATGGTTGCAAGCAGTGTGACTTCCTCATGAAGAAGCGTCTTGGATGAGCCCTAACTAACCCTGCAGTTACTCATCAGTGTAGCTAGCGCTACAAAAGAGGAGCGATCATAAAGGGAGTGATGTTTATGAGTATCAGGTCAATTCAAATGCAACGTTTCTATCAGCACAACAAACATCACCAAACACACAGTTTGTGTGCAGTTTGTCACAGTGTGATGCTAGCTAAAGGTGCAGCTACTCTATTTCAGAGGGAGAGAACAGAAGGAGAGCTAACTTTGCTCAGACATGGAGAAAGAAAGACGGGGCAGAGGAAGAGAGGTTAGATTTAAGGACTGTTCAGTGGAAATTTAAAGCTTACATGTAAGTCCTCATGTTTTTAAATCAGATATTGGGTCTGAACATGTGACATATTCTCAAACTGGAGCAAATCAAACTGTAGACTAACTATTTAAAGGTTACATGAAAGTCCTCTGCAGGTTAGTGCAGGATAGAGGTTACTTTGGTGTACTGTGATGGATTTAAAGACTGGTGCACAGTGGTTTCATGGTCAGAGTGAGGTTACATCAAGTGTAAGTGAAGTTAAGCTGATGATGCTGACCAACGTTAATCTGTCTAATATAAAGACGGCATAAACATTGTGTAGAGCATGGAAACATCTGCTGACATCTTGTTCATTTCAGTTGTGTAAATCCACAAAGAGCAGTGACCCTCAGAGCAGTAGTAGCTCAAATCAGCTGATCACAGCTTGCACATTAAGAAAATCTACTGATTTTAGGGTTCCCACCTGCTGGATCCACTTTGACCTCTTCCCTTTATTTCCTGTTCAAAGGCAAAGTCACGTCTGCGATGTAGGCGTCAGACAGCAGAGCGATTTTCCATTTTTCTGCTCATGTTCGACTTAACTCATTCAAAGTACCTTTATTAGAATTAAATCTACTAATATTATTTTATTATTACATAAAATAGCACAAGGTTCAGCTAGCTTTGGACAGAAATAGCTGGTAGAGACGTCCTCCAAAGAGTACTACTTTATCACTTTTACTTAAGAGGTTGAATCAGTGCTTCAGCTTTTACTGGACTATTTTTAACACTAGTATCTGTATGTCTACTTAAAGTTCGCAGTATCGTACAAACCGATGGGTGACATCATCAATACTCCATCCTTTAAATACAGTATATGATTGTAGTTACATTAAACAGATATTTCAACAATATGTCTGCACTCATCCAGTCCACTTAGATAAAACAGTAATGATATTATGTGTAATATTACTACATTAACCTCCTAAGACCTGAACTCTTTCATGGCAGCATTTTTAATTTTTCGTTGCTATTTGGGTTGATTGGGCCCAAAAGAATATAAAAACAATTTTTTTAAACCTAATTTTTGTTTTTGAGAAAAATGAGATCCACATATGAGGACATTTGTTTCAAATTTTGGTAGAACAGTGGCAGCATAATGTCCTGGTAGGTGGATATCAGGCCCTTGTAGAGAAAAATTACGTATTTTGGTCTCGACGTCCCAAAATGTGACACATATGTGGACGCCAGGTCCTACGAGGTTAATATGGAAACAGCATTTCATGCTTTCAAGCAAACACGGTCCCAGTTATGAAGCTACAAACCACCACAGCAGAAGACATTTTCCTTTCATAGGTTTTCTTTATTCATATTAAATCCAGAAAATAAATACAAAACATTTTGGGAGCATCTGATAAAGTGACAAAGACCCGCTTCAGTCAAGTTTTGCTAGTCAGAAAAATGTATTTTTCCTGTTTTAGCCACAGTTTGAAGTTTTATTTAAACTTGGACAAAGTGTTGAAACAAACTTCTTCAGTCTCCTTCACAGGGATCTAACAATGGAAGATTTCCAGTTTATTAAGAACAACTTCAAACTTCTAACCAGAGACTGACTTTAAATCTGGAACTGGAGCGTCAGTTTTGAATCATCCGGAGCCGTTTATTTGTGACACGAACAAATATTCAACACTAAGTATTGAGATGATGGCACATTTATACTGTCATTAAATGGAACATCCAATTATCAAGATCCAAAGACTTCCTGTTAAACGCAGATCAACATTAGCATTTAGTAGATTTGACACCAGATTAACATCTGAACATGGCGTCCACTCAGACGTATGGCTGCTGGGACGAGTCGCAATGAGCCGTGTTAGTTGCACATTCAGACACCACAGAAATAATCAAACACACATTTGGATTTGAACATGCACAACATGTGAAGCCGTATATTCCAGAGTTGCTAACGAGGGCGAGGTGTAAAACAGCAGCGAAGGCCTGTGTTGTGTCCTGTGGAAGGCACTGACGTCATCAGTACAATCTCCTTTACTAATAACATCAGACACATTCAGTGCTAACGAGTACTAACGTGAGCTGATTGAACCTCGACATCATTTCTATGGGGGAAAGACACAAGACAAAAAGTAGTGAGGAGTGTGGAGCGCAGCCACTGGAGAGCTCGGCAGTAATCCCATAACATCCACTGGGGACACTAATCAGAGTGTGTGTGTGTTTGGTCAAAGCTAAGAACAAAACCAGGTGTGCTTAGATACGTATGCATGAGAGTGTGTGTTCATCACCACATCCTTCAGCTGCAATCAAAGGACAGGTGAGCATTCATGTTCGTGTGTTATGATAGAGGCAGCACTGCAGCGTGCTGATCATCATTCATCATCAGGAGGGGATTGAGAAGGCAAATGGTGTGCGTGTGTGTGTGCGTGTGTGTGTGTGTGTGACACAGGTTATTCAGTCGTCCACTCCGATGTTGCGGAACAGGTAGGACATGGACTCTCCGTTGTGGATGCGGCGGATGGCCTCTGACAGGATCATGCTGATGTCCACCGTCTTGATCTTTGGACACTGGAGCTTCTGGAGCTCGTGGGGAATCGTGTTGGTCACCACCACCTGGAGACGACGGCAGACGTGAGGAGGCGGCGGCGGCGCCGACGGAAGCCTAAGAAGGACAACTCACCTCATCGATTGCCGACTCCTCTATGAACCTGGGGGCGTCTGAGGAGAGGAGGCCGTGCGTCGCCATGACAAAAATCTTGTACGCCCCTCTTTCCTTCAGCGTCTCTGCTGCGGCCACGAAGCTGTCCACATCATCGATGATGTCATCCTGGGGACAAACGGGCACGGTTTTAAACGCTGTGGACAGTCCGCCCCACCCAACCTTCTTTCGCTGTTCCTGATCCGGCTCAGTCATTTTTCCTAGCTCACCCTCTCTCAGTTCTTCCCATATGGATGTTGAACTTTTATTTCTATGTTAACATCGTTGGTCATTTGTTCAGGAAACTTTCATTCAGTAAATCTTCTAGTGCTCCAATTAATGATCAGTTTTAGAATCAACTGATTTGCACTCACACCATCCAGAGCTGCAGTTTACTGAGATATGACAAAAGAATCAAACTCTCAGACTGAGCGTTTTCCACCGTGGACGCCTGCTGCAGGTAGAGCTTGTTTCTCTCGTACTTCAGACCTGCTAATAGAACAAAATGTCCGAGTTTGCGTCGGAAGTTAGCGACTACGCAGCTTACTGAGGCTCATCTTTGGAAAACACCCAGAAGCTGTTCTAATGGTCTGTACTGACACCAAGGTTTCAAACCTGGTCGTTCAGGGCTCAGAGGAGTGGGATCATTTTCCACATTACTCAATAACATTCCTCCTTTTCTGACCGAGTGAAAGAGTCGACCCACATCCAGACAGTTGAGTTCGACAGGACAATAATGAGCAAAATCAGAAGATTTAATGTTACTAAATATGTTACTGTAACAGCTGTGCAACCGTCTCCTCTTTGTCCTGCTAGTCTTTAGGCCAATTTCTGCAGATTAGCAGTGTGACTGAGTTCAACTTCATGTTTGTATGAAAGACCTGTGAGCAGTGTTGCCAACTCCTCAGTAAGGAAAAT